AGGTCCTAAGCGCTAGTGGGGAAAGACGCGGTCGGGTTGCTAGGAGACCGGCCGCGTGCACCTCCAGCCAGCGAGATGGTTCTAAGTGGCAGCCGCTGGGTGTTGATAGAGTTCCAAAGACAGGTGCCTGGGAACCTAAAGAGAGAATCAACTTAAGCTCTTGTGGTGTCCCAAGCATGCGAACTAAGCACTCGGGAAGCTGAGGCAGGAGTGCACGAATTCAAGGCCACCCTGGGTTTATTCAAACATTGTTTAAAAGAGGGGGTAGGTGTGGTGGAGAGTTGGTTTAGCAGTTAAGAACACTGGTTGCGCTTCTAGAGGACCGGGTTCAATTCTCACACCTTACACTGCAGCTCACTATCTATTGTAACTTCAGTTCCAGTATACCCAATGCCCTCTCTTCTGGCCTCGGGGGCACTGCACACAGGTGGTGCACAGATGCATACATGCTGGCAAAACACACGATTTAAAAAAAAAAAAAAAAGTTAAAAGCCGGGCTTTGGTGGTGCACGCCTTTAATCCCAGCACTCGGGAGGCAGAGGCAGACGGATCTCTGTGAGTTCCAGGCTAGCCTGGTCTCCAGAGCGAGTGCCAGGATAGGCTCCAAAGCTACACAGAGAAACCCTGTCTCAACACCCCCCCCCCGCAAAAAAATTAAAATTTTAGCCAGACGTGGTGGGAAATGCCTTTAATCAATCTGGTCTACATAGTAAGCTCCAGAGCAGCCAAAGCTATACAGTGAGACTCTGTCTCAATTTTTTAAATTAACTAACTAATTTATTTATTACTGTTTTAAATTAGCTGGATGAGTTATATTGGATAGTTGAAAAGAGTAGGGATAGTTCTTGAAAATACTCATTTCTGCCATAGAGTAGGGAATGGGTTACCTAACTTGCATGAGGGCATATGGTTTTTTTTTTTTTTTCAATTTTATCAGTTGTGTTGGCATGTGGTGCCAAAGGCCTGAAATCCTAGCACTTTGGGGTGGAGGTGAGTAGATCAGGAAATTTGGGTCATCTTTTTCTGGAACTAGGAGTTAGACAGAGTCCCTGATAGGCAGACAGATAGGAAGAGAACCTACAAATAGATATTAAAGGTGGCAAATTTCAGCACACACCTTTAATCCCAGCACTCTGGAGGCAGAGGTAGGAGTATCTCCATGAGTTCAAGGCCAACCTGGTCTACAGAGCAAGTTCCAGGACAGCTAGGGCTACACAGAGAAACCCTGTCTCATAAACAAATAGACA